TATTATAAGAAAATAAGGTACCTGGGCCACTACTTTTGGTATGCCCTGAGTATATATTAACTTGATAGGTTATTATGAAATGAATAGTTTTACTAAAGCCACATTCCGATAATGTCATCGGTTAATGTTGTTCTCATAATATGTGCTGATGACAAACGATATTTTAACCAATCAATAAGTTCATCTATAATTGGTCTTGTTTCTTGAGACGATGTATTGTACCATAACTCTAATTCGTCTTGATACTTATCATCTTTACATACTACATTTAGTATTTCGAGTTTAGGCATATTGTTAACAAGATAAAGAATATTTTCACGATTTTCAACTGTAATATGAAGTATTTTACATTCGGTACTCAACGATGAGCGACATAATGCAATACAGTCTTGCTTATTAAATCCAACATATAAAGGATTACCCCACCAAGGATTACTCATGTATAGATCAAGTTCATAAGCAGTTATATTTTTTGTACATTCGAATAATGATCTTTGCAATGGTAACGATTGATCTTGTCTAATCTCTAAGGTATCTAAACAAGACGGTATTCGATTGAATATAGTTTGCAATTGAGATTGGAAGCAATCATTATAATCATAAACATAAAGTGACTTTACTTGATCAAATCTTTCAACAGTAGACCAAAACTGATCATCGATCGGAAGATATATCCAAATTCTATCATTTAGAGTTGCTTTGTCGTTATAATATGTTTGTATATTATCCTGTGGACAAGTTGTTTTGAAGAATTCAAAAGATGAATCTAAATTATTTTTATATCTAGTAGATAATGTCTCAAGACAAATATTTTTTTTAGATGCGAAACATCCAACAAACCATTGATGTTCGTCAAGCCAAAATGAACTTCGAAATGAATCTAATAATTCATTAATTTCTTGTTCTTTATTTTCGGCGTTAAAGAATGGTGCATCCATCACAAGTCGAAATACTTTAAGTTTAGGTAAATAATTTCGTATACCGTAGTTCCAAGCATTTCCATCGATTAATTCATATGTATGAGGAACAGATAATTGAATATCCAAACAACGTAAATTTGGTAAGTTTTCTAAAAAACTTGTTATTATACTGGCTGATACATACTTAAAAACAATGTCTAAACTGGTTAATGAGAAAAAAGGAGATGGTTTATAATCTTCCGAAGCTTCAGATACATGTATTCGAAGATGCTGGAGACAAGGTGTATACTGAAATATTCGATGTATTGTATCTAATGAAAACTCAGTACTATACAGATATAAACTTTTGATAGACGATGAGATTATTTGTGGTATATAACAATGCACATAATCTCCATATAAAATGTAATATTTGCAGTAAATAAGTTTCGGTAAATTCCAAATATTGTTAATTATTAGTTTATAATTTGGATGTTCAAGGTAACCAGCAGAATGTATGTGGTAAAAATATAAATGAGTAAGATTAGGAAGATGTTGACAATGGTCGATAACATTCATTAGTAATGTATAGGATCCAATATATCCGATAGAAAGCGATCGTAATTGAGATAATTGATTAAATGATGATGACATATAAGATAAAAAAAGACTAATTTGTTTTGGAGCATATGCATTATCAGAAAGATGCATTTTTAAAATACGATTAGCAATATATGGAAAATGTCGTTGACAAATAATATCGAAATCACGTTTTTTAGAAATTAAATTAAAGTTAAAATAATACGATTGAAATTGATTGTATAGAAGAGAATTCAGTCGAGAATTAAGACCATAAAATGCACGAAGAAGATTACTACCATCAAAATATTCGAATAGATCAAGGATGATTTCATTTGGTAATTTTTCGAAACTCATCTTGTGTTTGCTTTGTATGTTGTTCTGTGGATATCTATATACATATATATATATAACAACATGGTATATAAAGCAAATAAAACCATAAAAAAAGTCATTTTTTTCTTTTCTCTATAAGATAAGAATCTCGGTGTTAGCCAATATGCATGGCTTGATATATGAGTCAATTTGACTTCTTCGACGACAACAATGTCATTTCCCGAACGGTTTTTCTCCGAGAGATATTATATTGTATTAGACAGATTAAACCTTCGCCGAATAATAAATAGAAACATGCAAAAAAAAACTTTATCAAAATACATATTTTCAGTTTAAAAATCGTATCAGATCGGAATTTGGATGAAGTTGGACATTATTCAATTAAGTGAGGTTCAAGTCTTATGAATCTTCATTAAAAATCCAGCAATGATAGTAGTCAGTTGGTCTATACGTATAACGGTAGCTGCAACAATTTATCAATGAGTGGTTAAAACTCATGAAATCATTTGGCATAGTAATGTAGCAGTGACGACAGTCTACCGATAAACTCGTGCTACTGATACTATAATGAATTGGTAGACGGTGCATTGCAACTCCATATCACAGTATATAAGATAAAATAGTTATAAAAGTAATGATTTGCACAAAACGGAGGGTGTGGGTGTGGGTGTAGGGTTGGGTGTGGGGTGTGGGTGTAGGGTTGGGTGTGGGGTGTGGGTGT